CTTCCGATCTGGCTAATCTACATGCCTCCGTCGAAGGAGGCATGTAGTCTAGACACACCCCTTATGTTTCTTCTCTGGCCTTCCTCCTCTTCCCACTGATGCTGCCTGTCATACATTGACAAGCTTCTTTCCTACACTAGCATGATATTTGGGTTAATTGTCATTGCTGTTGATATTGCTACTAGTTTTGTGGTTATTCTTCCTCTACTCTTGCTCAGCGCTTTGGTCCTAAAGGAACTGGGGGTCATCGACAGAGGTCTAAGCGCAAAATTAGGACTCAAAAGCACCTGAGATCTAATCTCTGCTTTGACACAGATTCCTGGGGCTTTGGAAGAAGCACTTACCCTGTGTCTCACAAAGCACCCTGAAAATGAGATATGCCATTTATTAATTAAAATAAAATGCAAATGTAGCGAACACTTGCATCATACCTCATGTCAGATTTGGCAATAACTAGTCCTTATCCATCTCAGTAACACAAGTTTTCACAGAGTCTCCAAAAAAGTGAGCAATCTAATATTTTCCATCACTGAGAAGGCGACTACTAAACAATCATGGATCAATGGGCATGTTTCAATCACGTCAGTGCAGAGTGAGATGGAAGAATTGATTACTCGGTCCCTTTCAGGCTACACAAGTTATTCTACTTTCCACTGCCATTGCAAAGGAGTGGGGGGAATTAACCGAGTCCTCTTAGTTTGGTACCTGGATCTTTAAGCTTCTCTGCCATTGACTCCAGGCTGGATACTTCCTCTCCCTGAGGGGCATGGATTACCATCACTGTGGAACCCAGAATGCTCAAGATGCAGCCAATCTTTCCATGGACATTCAGGTGCTCATTCAAAAAGTAGGAAGACAAAACTGCGCTGTGGGATTGAAAGCAAAGGACACATAAAAGCCAAGAGGGTCCATGACTTGAGGGAACAGATAGGGTGCGGGTAGACAACTTCCAGTGGTAAAGGGTCCAGGGACAAGTCCTGTTTGTTCTTCTGTTGCTTACCTGACTAGAACACTTAGTGCACCCAGTGGTGTTACTAGTGTTGCTGGGGCAAAGGCATATGCAGCAAAATTAGCTGCTTCTCCAACTCCCACTGCAAAAGAGACTCAGTCAGTCAGAGCAATTTAATATGGAAGCAAATGCAGCACAATTCAGGTCAGCTCATCACTACTGTGCTGCAGGGCTACCGAAGGGGACGACGACAAAAGGGGCAGCTACCCTGGGGCCCAGGGATTTAAAAGTGCCCGGGGCTCCCACCGCTACTGCGGCTAAAGCAGCAGCCAGAGTCTCAGGCTGGGGATGTGAATGGGTAACAATTAACTGTCACAGCCTGTTGCAGGCAGAGGGCTGTTCCAACTCTATGGGGATGCTGGCTCCCAGCCCGCGTGGGTTGGGAGTGGGCAGCCTCATGTGGAACGGGAAAGAGCAGGTGGGAGGCTGCACCTGCTGAGCTGCCACTTCTGGCCTCATGTGAAGCTAACCAACTAATTAACGGGATTTTACATCTCTACCTCAGGCCCTTTAAATTACCATTGAAGCCCTGAGTGGCTTAGACCAGGGAGTGCTGAAGGACTGGCTGGGGGAGGCTAGTCCCCAGCCCTGCCCCTTCCAAGGCCCGGTGCCACACACCTTGTCCAAGGGCCCAGCAGCTGTATGAGTAGCCCTGCTGTACACTATAAGAGGCATCACCACTAGTTGCTGATTCCACCATGATGCCATAATTTGTTATCTGTAGTAACTCAATCTAGCTATTTGACCACTGATCGGACAGTGTAGATAAGTGAGAAAAAAAGAAGTGGCTGGCCAAAGAGATATTTACCCATGGATATACTGCTAACCAGCATCAGCGGAGAAAAGAAATACTAACGCCCTTACAGTTCAAATATATTTATAGAATTTGGCCTTCCTGTAGTGGCGTCCACACAACATACTCTGGTTTTACTCAGCATCATGTCTAGGAATTGCCATGAAGTTCTATTGAATAACCAACCACACCAGGAGCTAAGGAGCCAGCTATGCAGCACACATGGCAATCCGCAAAATGCTCTAAAATGCTTTGCATGGTTACAGAGGAACTTCCAAAATGGCCCAATTACCTGGTTCATTCAGGACTCAACTCTTAAGGGAGAAACAGAGAAATATGTGAGATGTGAGCACATAACATGGCAGTTTTGGCCAGATAACCCCACCTTCAAACTCCTCAATGATAAAACAGGGCAGTTGATCCCTGATTATGACAAAGGGAATAAGAGAACACGACCAAGATAAATACGAATAATCAAAAGCAAGGGCCCAAAAGCAAGCTTTTCCGTTGCATAGGAAAGATAGGAAATATGGCAAAAGACCGCCTTGGCTTAACCACGAGATCTTGCGTGATCTAAAAATAAAAAAAGAATCATATAAAAAATGGAAACTAGGACACATTACAAAGGATAAATATAGGCAAACAGCACAGGAATGCAGGGGCAAGATTAGAAAGGCAAAGGCACAAAATGAGCTCAAACTAGCTACGGGAATAAAGGGAAACAAGAAGATTTTTTTATAATACATTAGAAGCAAGAGGAAGACCAAGGA